TGAGCAGTCTGGGGTTGAACTTCTGATCCTTTTGTCTCAGCCTCACAGAGTTCGGGGATTACGGATGAAGCCCTCATGCCTGGTTTGCAACTCTCTTATGACATGAAAAAAAATGTGCTTCATTTCAAGATAATCTACACAAAATGAGATACGCGTACCCTGGGTCACCCGAAGCAGTTGTGCACCGAGGCAGGTTGAGGACGTGGCAAGGAGGGCACACAGACTGACACAGACCGCAGGGTCCCCAGCTGGCTCCACATCCCGCCGAGCGACCCAGGACAGCACTCACCCTCTGTGCAGGAGCCTGTAGCTGCAAGAGGGTGGTGGTAATGGCTTCTACTCTGAGGTCCCTGTGAGAGCTGAAGGAAAGGACACTGGCCAAGCGGCCAGCCCCCTGCTTAAGAGGCAGCTACGCTCAGTCACAATCCGACTGTGTGTTCTCTGGTGGCCCCAGGATTAGTGAGACTCCTGAGAAAAACCAACAAAGGTGGATTTGCAGGGAAATGATGTGTTAGAGCCGAGTGAAGGCATGCTAAGTAAATGAAGCTTTCACAGACGTTTAAATAAAGACAAACAGTGTGAAAATGGAGTCATCTCACCAGGCTGGCAGAACTCAAAGGAACGTGCCCTGGAGCGGTCAGGCTGTGCTTGCTGCTCCGTGAGCTGCTGTTTGTTCTTCAGCAAAACCTCATCTATCTGATGCCATCCATGTTAATAGGACTTTTACTGGTTTTGTCATTTTGTTTGTACTTAATTTATACATTTTTTTGGCTTTTATATGAAGGCTGTAAGCGTCAGTTTATATCTAGTTTGAACATATTTAGCTAACTTTATAAAAATAATTGAAGCCAATGTTGTGCTTTAAAAGGTGCCCATATGTTTTTCAGGTCTGGGATACCCTGCTCTGGGTCTTTCCCCTTGGAATTCTGGTGGAAGGAGACTTCCTGTGAGTGCAGGAACTTTCCTGTTACAGGTGTGGTGGACAAGCCCAGTGGGGAGCAGCAAGGACCGTGTGGGGGCACAGTGACCAAACGAATCTTGCTTAGGCACTAGCAGAGCCAGCAGCCTCTCCAGCTTTTTCCTGTTCCTGGGGTTTTGAGTGTCAAGTGTTTATTTTGTGACTCAGTTGATCATGGTGCTACTTGTTTTTTTCCCCTAGTATTTCTACTATTGTATTGCATTTAGTCTTTGAGAATTATGGCTGTGTATAGGATAACATGTTCCTGTTGCTTGTTGGAATTATTTGGAGGGAGGTTGTTCCCCCAATTCATATGCCTGAAGCTTGGTTCCCAGTATGACAGTATTAAGGTGTTAGTCCCCCAAAAATCAGAAATGAGGCCAGATGTGGTGGTGCATACCTGTAGTCTTAGCATTGAGGAGGCTGAGGCAGGAGGATTGCTGTGAGTTGGAGGCCAGCTTGGGATATCTAGTGAGTTCAAAGCCAGCCTCAACTCACAACATAGTGAGATCTTATCTCAAAACAAAAGTAAAAGGACCTTGGGATGTAATCCAGTGCAAAAGCCCTGGGTTTGATCCTCATTACTACCAAAAAATAATAATTAAAAAATAAGGTTAATGGAAGGTAATTAAGTCATGGGGCATTGCATTGGCATGGATTAATGCTGGTCTTGAGGAGTGTATCTGTTCTCATGCGAGGAGGCTGTATAAAGCAAGGCCACCCACCACACATCCACTTAACACTTCACTCCTTCTCCTCTGAGCCAGTTCCCTTTCTGCTTTTCTATGTTGTGACTCAGCCAAGGGGGTCTTTACCAGAGGCCGAACAGGTGGGGCTGGCCAATCTTGGTCTTAGAGGCTCCCAAATTATGAGCTAATTTACTCTACTTTATGAAGTAGCCAGACTTGGGTATTTTGTTTTAGCCACACAAGACAGACAAAGTCACTTACATAAGTGGGATGTCAGTAAGGGAGACCATACCCAGTGAGATCTAGCTGTGATTAACCCAGACTTCCTCTTCTTCTCATGCTTGGATCTGGAGAAGACCAGTTTCCATGGACTTTTAGGGATGTTTTTCTTTTCTTTTTTGGGGTGCTGAGCATTGAACCTGGGGAGTACTGAGCTACTACGTCTCTAGCCCTTTTACTTTTTAAATTTTGAGAGAAGGTCTTGTTAAGTTGTCCACGCTGGCTTTAAACTTGCAATCTTCATGCCCCAGCCTCCTTAGTAGCCGGGATTATGGGCACATCCCACCATGCACGCCTGCTTTCTGGGAGCACTTGTATGTTCACAGATACAACCTGCTTGTACACAGAGCGTATTTCCGTGGTTACTTCTTCTTTTATCTCTACACTGGCCTCCATCTGAGCAGAAGTTGCCCTTTTCCTTCATTTCCATCAGAACCCACAAAGCTTTTGCTTATATGGTAAATGTTACTGAAGGTTGGGGGATATTTGGCCAGATGGAGTAAAATGAAGGCACGGAAGAGGGTTTACTTCATGACAACACAAATGAGTTAAAACCAAGAGCCTGACATCCCTATTCTTACAAGTCTTGTAGCTGCACTGCCCTGCTGCCTGACCCCATCCTGTCCTCCTTCACCTCTTTCTCCTTCTACCCCCGAACTTCAAGTCCTTTCTAATAGAACTGCTTTGCTGTCCCTTTTCCAGCCTTGTCTTGAGACTCTCCCTTTGCCCCTGACGCAGCCTGGCACGATGCCTTCCTTACCAGTGCTCCTCCTGAGAGGCCTTCTGCGGTCGGGAGGTCAGATGGTGTTGGCTGCCCTACAGCACTCCCAGAAGCTATTCACTGCATGTTCCTCTCATCTGGGAGCCGCACAGGATCTATAAAACACTTCCACCTACATAAGCCCTTTTGGCCGTCAGAGGAGCACCAGGTGAGGTATCATGTCCATTTAGCAGATGTGGGACCAGAAGCTCAGAGAGATTGACTAAATCATTCAAAGCCATGCAGCCAGCCAGGCACGGTAGTGCATGCCTGTGATTCTAGTACTCTGGGAGGCTGAGGCAGGAGGATCTCAAATTGAGCCCAGCCTGGGCAATATAGCAACTTAGTGAGACCCTTTCTCAAACATAAAAAATAGAAAAGGTCTGGAGATGTGACTCGGTGCAAAAACCTTGGGTTCAAGCCCTAGTACTGAAAAAAAAAAACAAAAAAAAAAGCCACATAAGCCAGGTAGGTGAGGGAGTAGAAATCAAGATCTAGGACTAATGATTTTGAGATATGACCCCTGTCACCACACACTGACAGAATGTGTGCTGTGCAATCAGCAATCCCATAAATTTTAAGCCTGTTGTCCTCAGGAGCAGCCATGGAGGCCCCAGCAGGTATAGACATCCTACAGAGCTGGACTGCAGTCCCTCCCCACACCTTGCTCTGGGTTCTCTCTTTTGCTGGATACTTAGCTCCTCATCTTCAGTTCTAGGTATAGGGCTATGTATGACTCACCATTCAAAAGTGAGATCTTAAGCCCTTTGTTTAACAGTCACTAAGAATTTCAACACAGAGCATTAAGCCAAGCATGGGACATTTAAAAATGACCATGCAGGTTGCAAGCCCTCAAAGCAGCACTGTCCGGATGATGTGTCCCCCAGGAGGTGTGCCCCAACTCCTCCCACTGGGTGAGGTGCTTATCACATGCGATTGTCCTCTCTTCATTATGTGTTGGCCTGGAGCCCGTGTCCTCCTCCTTGGATGTGAGTGCAGGCCCTGGTAAAGCACAGAGTTTCAGTGGATGTCTCGCTGGGGGCTGGGGCTCCTGAGAGTGGAAACTGCAGGAATAAGGCAGTGAGCCATTGTCTGCAGGCAGGCCTCATACAGCACCATGCTCTGTCAGACCAAGCATGGCTGTGTGAGCCCCTGGAATTTGCCAGGGTTTCCGGTGTGTGCTGGAAGTAGGGTAGGGGCCCATTTTCTCTTTGAAAGTTTGTTGATCGCTTTGTTCCCTGGGCCCCACAAATCCTGCTCTTCAAGGCCAATGAGTGACAAGCCACAGAGGTAAGGGACAAATAGGTGAACAAGGCGAAGACTACATATCAGACACAGAGCTCTTCCTGGGGACGTGCACCTTGGCACCAGTCCCTGGGTTCTCACTGTGGCTCACTGACCCTTCCTCAGCTTCTTGAGGTTTCCTTGATACAAAAGTCCACTTTGGATGTCCTTGCTTACTTCCCTACTCAGCGACATATGTGGGGCCAGGGAAATGCTGCCCAAATGTCTCCTCAAAACCAGAAGGGAAGAGGGCAGAAGACTCAAAAGTCTGGGATGAAATGAGCCTTCCTATCAAACTTGTTCTGATTCTATTGACCAAAATCCTCTCTGTGTATGTAGAAGGGGATGTGTCGGCTCAAAACTGAGAAGCCTAAGGGTAGGTGTATCTTTCAACATTGCTGGTCCTTGAGGCCCAGAGAGGTGGTCAGATGGAGGAAAGTTTTCAAACCTGCAAATAGAAATCCACGGCACGGGTTCGGATTAGCTGGGCTTTGGTAATGAGCATATCCTTTAACCAATCCTATGTTAAGAGGTGACAGCAAGGGCAGGCACTCCAGATTTTCTTCCAGTAGCTAGCCTGAACCTTGTCGCTGGCTTCTAGACTCTGAGAACACATTCCAGGAAGTCCCTTGTAGAGAACAAACTGCTGAGCACAGGTAACTGTCTGGAAGGTCGGGCCTTGGCTGGTACCACAGGCTATTTCCAGAAACTTCTTCTCATCCTCTCTTAGAGGACTCCAGCGGTGTCTCCACAGGCCAGAGTGAGGAGACCTCCAGGCAATGCTTTCTCAAAGGACTTCGCTTCAAAATACATTTATTTGAGAGTGGAAAATATTCTTTATTTTATTTTTACCTAAGAAATGAACTAGTCATAACAAAAAGGAGACAAGAGGACCCTTTATAGAAGTGCAACATTGCTCCTAGGCCTTTCCTTTAGATCTCAGTTCACACAAATCCTGGTCCTCAAGGCCAAGCAGGGCATTAAAAATTTTAGTAATGATGGTAATGAGGATTTTTTTTCAATACAACAGGCATTTCTCCCTTTTGGCTGTGCTAAGAAGAAAGACCAAGTGTTTTCATCAGTGGATACCAAATTTAGTGAAGATCCATGATGATTTCTCAAGAACCTGAACCTCTGTGACTTCGCTACCAGACAAGTGGTCTTTGTCTCATCCAATATCCAAGCTCTCAGTATCTTGAACAAAGAATTGAGCAAGACATACAGTAGTGAGAAAGGTTGGGATTTATTAAAGGAAAGCACACTCCAAAGAGTGGGAACAGGCTGATGAGTAAGTTTGAGAGCAACCTTGACTCACAGTGGCCTTGTCTGTTTTAGGTTTGAGGTTAAAGTACACTTTGGAGAGTTCCCAGTGGGCAGCACCCAAGGATGACAACATCCAGTAACAAAAGTACGTTCTCTAGAGGACAGGCTGGGCATGGCGGCGCATGCCTGTAATCTCAGCACCTGGGAGGCTGAGACATGAAAATCACTGCCAGTTTGAGGCCATCCTGGATTACATAGTGAGTTCACGGCCAGCCTGGACTACATAGTGAAACCCTGTCTCAAAAAGCAGGAACAAACAAACAAAAAACAGAGGGTAGGCAGAGCTCAGAGATGGTGACCACAGCAAATTCCAGGGTTGGTTTCCCTCTTGTTTTCCTTTCGGGGAGTGGTCGGGTGGTAACTAGGCTTCTTTCTGTTCAACTCTGAGTCTCAACCCTCACACTGGGGGCGGTGTTGAACTTAAATGAAACTACACAGAACCAGCCTGGCTGCCAAAGCCCACCAAGGGGGTCAAAGCTGTAATGCTAATGGGGGTTACTCTAAAGTTGTTAGAGCACATGAACTTCTTGGGCTCATCCTGGATGTCAAGGAAGTATGCTGACAGCAGGATTCTTTTGTGGTCTCCAAGGCATCCTGTCTGCCATGAACCTAAGGCCAGAAAGTTTCTCGTACTATCTCCTGCCTCAGAATGGCTTTACCTTGTAGTGTCTTCTGGCTATATTGCTGTCTGTAGTTCTGGGTGAAGTATGAGGAAGGAGGTTCCACAAAAAAGAGCCAGAGTCTTAAAGCCAGGACATCTGAGCTGTAGGCTTACTGTCTTGGTTATTTTCTTGTTGCTGGGACAAAATACCTGACACCCACAAGTAAAAGGAGGAAAGGTTTATTTTGGCTCACAGTTTGTAGGGGTTTCAGTCCATAGTCAGCTGGCTCCAAGGCAAGGCACATGGCAGATGGCATGGCAGAGGAGCAACAGTCCACAGCAGGGCAGGCAACAAGGTAGTGAAGTGGCAAGCAGCAGCTTCTTTTTCTCTTTTACCCATCCAGGCTATAAGTCTTTTAGGCAGCGCCACCCATACCCAGAGTGGGCCTTCTCATTATCCACACCCAGAACTATGATAAGCCAATTAGTGGACTAATCCAGTGCCATATACCCCTAATCCCAGTATCATACGCTCTAGATCCAACCACTTCTGAAAAGCCCCACCTATCAGTACTCGAGGCTTTGGGGAGACATCTAGATATAAAATATAGCACCTACCATCTCATGACTTTCTGGTTGACCTTGGCTCCAGTCACTGGGCCAGGGCTGGGGATTTAGCTCAGCTGCACAGCGCCTGCCTGGCAAGCGCAAGGTCGTGAGTTTGATTCTTGGTACCGGGAAAAAAAAAAAAAGTGACAGTCACTAGGCCTGTTTCCCCACTTGTACAATGAGAGATTGGATGAGATGTCTCTATAATTCTTTTTAGCTCTAGTTTTTGATAGTCCAGATCAAATATAAAAGTAAGACTGATCAGAACTGTGATTGTTCCTGTGTTTGCTATGGTGTCACTAATAGACCTTGGGTGACTCTCCCCTCCGCTTTGGAACTCTCTGCTACCCTGAAATACCTAGATCACGTGGCAAGGCTGTAGAAGAGGAGGTGTGGAGTGACAGACACAGAGGGAGCTCTCTTGGGGGCCTGGGATTCAGAAGGCCTGCTCCTCAGCAGGCTCTATCACAGAGGATCCTGTGCACTTGAAAACGCCAACCTGGGGATAGCCGTCCTATGAAGTCTGAGTCTATTCCCGCAGTTTCTGAAGCTCACACCCACTTCCATGGGCCCAGGCCTCCCTAGCTTGCTTTGTGCTTTGTCCTTTCTTTGTCTTCCAGACCCACACAGTGGCCATAATGTTCAATTCCGCAAAGCCTCAACAAAACCTGCTCTGAGCTACAGTGAACATCAGGCAAGCTGCCATGAGCCCTTTCTTCAGGGAGCTCATAATGCTGATGGGGCTATCATGTACCCAGTGCCACGAGAGAAGGCAGTACCTTCAGCCCAGAAAAAGACCATGAGAACATTTCCTGTTGGGTTACCCAGAATGATGAGACAGAACTGCTGACTGAAGGCACAGCATGACGGAAGAAGTGCAACCAGCGTTTGGGTGGCACAGGGATGCAGGTGGGGGGGGTGATGAACCTGGGAAGGAACACTGGGCCAATCTCAACAGGCTGTGAAGGCCTGGAGTGTGAGTTTGGGCTGGAAGACAGAGAGTTTTCCATGTTGGTCAAGGCCCTTTGGGTTGCAAGGGAGGGAACCGACTTTGCACTAACCCCAACAGAAAGGGCAATTTATGGGTGAACAGAGAATCCAAGGAAGGCCTGAATGACCTAGCAGGTAAGGAAGCCCAGGACACTCTTGGCTTTTAGGAACAGCTAATCAGGGCTTCAGACCCCATCTCAATCCTATTTTTCTTGGTTGGCTCCATTTTTCTTTTTTGGGGCAGACTAACTTTCTCTACATGGAGGAATTTTGGGGAAGGGACTTATTGGCCCAAGCTTAGGGCAGCTTCCCACCCCTTGATCCATCAGAAGTTGGAGTTGCATGTTCACAGAACTGTCCTGTTGTCAGCAGAAGGCAGGGAGGGCAGGACCAGAAAGAAGGTACAACGCTGAGCAGGCAACCCTAGAACAATCTCCTAAGTTTTCTGAGCAGAGCAATATGGCCCCATACAACCTCCATTTTGGGAAGAGTAGGCTTTAGAGACGAGAGTTTTTTTCTTTTATTCATAAAAACAAATTTGCAACAATTTATTAAAAATTGATACCATGCAGTAGGGGAACGAGAAATTCCTCATTTACATTTGATTCTGGCAGTTCCAGTCTAATTTAAAGCGTTGTGCACTAACATCATTGGAAAATGCCTTCAGGCCGAAGCCTCTTGGAAATGGACGGTGTGGTTGTTGCATATAAAAGAACAGAACCATTAAATAGCTAGAGTCACTTCTGTGGGTCTTGTTATTTGCGGGGAAATTAAAGAACAAAATGGGTGAGCCTACAGGATCAGTAAGACAGAATGTATTTTGTGGGTTAACCTAGAAGACGGAGCACGTTTTGGAGTCACAAAGGGTTACAGACGCACGCTCACCTCCGACAGTCCAATACTTTTGTTTGTTTGTTTTCCTGCTATGTTGGAATAATATTTCTACAGGTATTTTTGTGTGTGTATACATTATGTACAATTAATTCTCTTTCCCTTTGAAAAATTAATGTGATCCTTTAAATTAAATTTGGTTTTGGTGAAATCAAGAAAGCAAGGAAATACTGGTAATACACACTGAGTGACAACACAATTTTTAGTGCCTAAACAGAGAATGACTTCAACATGACTTGTGATGTGTTAACATTTTTTTTTCCCCTAAAAGCTACAGTACCTCCAGAACCTCTCTTGAAGGAGGGGAGGGGAATGCTATGCTACGTGAACTCGGGTGTTTTGAAATGTTGGCGATGGTGATTCCCATGGGCCCTTTCATCAAAGCCTGGTGGTGACAACAGTGTACTCCTGACTGCAGTGGTTCTGGGAAGAGATTATTGCCTGCCTGTTGAAGCTGCCATTAGGATTCTTTAGGGAGCGAGCGAACTGCTCAGTTGTGCAGATGTCCTGGACGTTGTCATTCAGGCCTCTCTTTAGCAAAGAATGAACCTGTCTAGGAATGTCAGAAAAGTCATTGGGAGCCTCCTCCAGCCCAGCGGTTCCTGGGGGAGGGCTGTGCTGGAAGCTTCTCTGGGCCACACGCCCAGGCTGTAGTGAGGGCCGAAGTTCATTGTCACACTAATACCTCATGGGTCAGGGCTGCTTCACTGTATGGGACAAAGCTTTCCAGCATGAGATCAAGTTTCAATCCTCAGAGTGATCCTGTGAGGTAGGCAGGATGGGTGTTATTTCAACCCCAATCTGTTACAGAGGGGAAACTGAGGCTTAAAGAGACACGAGTGACTTGCCCAAGGTCACATAGGGAGCTGGAGGGGAACTGAACCCAGATCTCTCTGACTCCAGGGCCGGTGCTCTTTGGGGTTCAATTAAAAAAGAGCAGTTATATTATGAGTGAGGATCAGTGGCAGACTGATGGCCTCTGTGACCCCCCAGGGGAGAGAGCTCACAGGCTCCTCTGGATGGAGGGTTGCTCTGGAAGGCAAGGGAAGCCCTCAGCCAGCAACTCCCTCCCCTAAGACACCAGGATGTCTTTTAGCAGAATGCCCCCAATTCACTTTGGTCAGAAACAAAGTCAGTGGCAACAAAAATAAAAAAAAATTAAAAGAAAAAAAAATCCCAGCCAGCCCTTGGGCCCTGATGGGAACAGTTAAAGTGCACAATCTTTCTTTCTCATGTTTGCTGGGAACAGATGTTCTGTGGTTAGCTCGGTGGTCCCCCTTATTACTGGGAACACTCCATATGAACACAAGGACATGGCCAACACGGCGGGTGCATGACAGACTGTCGGTGAACGCCGCAGAGCATGTCTGCGGTGACGTGCCCTAAATCCCCACAGTCCCCGGATCGGGTGTTATTGTGTTAATGTGTGGCATTTATCAGAGAATAACAAACATCTCATTCAGGTGACAGAGGTCCCCTGGGAGCATGCGAGTCCGCCTGCTTGGGGGCCCCAGTGCAGGGCTGCGCCCGTCCACCAGTCCTGCGGACTCCCTGTTCCAGGGAGGCTGGGGGTGCTGGGCTGGCCCCTGGGGACCTGGCAGCCCTGCTCACCTCCTCCCCCAGAGTACAGAAGGGCTGGCGGGGACCACAGCCTGTGATGTGTGTGCAGAGTGCAGAGGCAGTTTCTCCAGAGCCCTTGCCTCTTCCTGAGGCTCCTCAGGGTCACTCGGGGAGTCTAGCTGGAGCTTTAGGCCTCTCTCCTTGTCGAGAACTTTTTGTTGGTTTTTTGCTAGTTTCAAATATCCCAGCTCTTCCTTGTTTGCAGACATTCAGGAAGAAGTCATTTCCATTCCTCTTCTTTGTGAAAGAATAAGAACTTCACAAATAAGGCTCGAGGTCAGGGGCCAAGTTCCCCATCCTGTCCACCCAGTGCCATCTGAGCAGTCCTGAGAGGCAGCCGCGGTGCCCAGGTTCTCCGTGGCCGGAGCCAACAGTGCCTGCAGCAGACGTCTCTGCCCAGCATGGTGCCGTTGCGGGGAGGCCCTGGCCCCAGGCCTCCCACTTTTACAGGCCCGAGACCATGACTCGGAAGGAGGGTGGCACATGTCTGTGGCGGGGGCTGGCGGTGGGGCTCACGCAGGGGCTGACACAGCTGGCGTCCACGCCACCAATGGATGGGAGGTAGGCGTGGTGCAGGATGGGGAGCTGTAGGGACAGCCGGCGCTGGATGCTGGGGAAGAAAGGAGGGCGTTAGTGAGGCTGTTTTGTCATTCTCCAGAAGGTTCTCTGGACTCACTTTGGCTAAAAGAAGCAGATCCTAGGAGCCTAGTTTTCTCTGAATCCAAGAGCTGGTCATCTAATCATCTAATCATTCAGCCACCCAGTAGGTATTTAAGGAAGGCCTGTGGGTACTTACTGCTGCCCTGGGATAAGCAGGGAGACTGGGCTGAGCAAGGAAGACTCAGTCTTCTCGAGCCTCTGGTCCAGGGTTTGGTGATTATCATAACTGTGGTGTACCAAGTAAAAGGTTGTTTTGTTGTTGTTGTTTTGCTTGCCCTTCTAATGGGGATTTGCTGCAGCACAGATATTTTTCATTCTCTAATCTTACCAGCTCTAAACAGATGTGCCTTCCTTTTCACCCTGAAAGGCATCCTGGCGGCTTACTCTCTCCTCACTCCCCTCTGCCCCCACCTTGCCCAGCACCTTGCTCCTTTTGGTTGGGCCAGTTCCAATATGCTGCTTCCTGGTCTTTCAGCTTCTTTAGCAACTGGTGTTATCTTTCCAACACAGAAAGCCATGGAAAGGAAAAGACGACATGCTTTGCTGTGGCATTCTGGGCTCCTTAAAATCTGTTTCTCTCTGGACTCTCCTGGCGAATCTTCTACCTGCTCTGCCTCAAGCCCTGTTCCTTAGGGCAGTAGTGTTGGCCAAGAGTTCAGAAAAAAGGGTAAAGAATAAACTGACTTGGTGAAAGGGGCCCTGTCCAGGCACCCAGGCCTGGCCATCTGCCTATGCAAGGTGGGTACGTATCTTGTGGTTATCTGAGCCATAGGATTCTCTGTTAGGATCCTGTTCAACACATACAGTACTTTCCTAGAATTTACTTAATTCTGGAACCTACATTTACTTTAGGGGATGCACAAGGGACTTAGACCTTACCCTGAAGGTGCTTATACTACAGTGGAGGCAACTGATTGGGAAACTGTAGACAAAAGCCATACCATTGGTCATGGCTCTGGTCTGCAAGGTGGCCAGTCTTAGAGCTAACTGGGTTGGTAGACCATTAGCTCTTATACTACAGGGAGTTGGTGATTTGGCTGCCTTTGCTGGTTCCACTCAGCTTGTCACTCCCCAGAGATCAAGTTTCAGAGTTTACATGTCTGACCCCTGCTTCCAATCTGCTGTAAGATGGGAAGATCTGAAAATGCCAGTGAGAACAAAGCTGACTTTGCTTAGATGTTACCTTCTTTTTGCATCTTCTCTGACTGCCCTACTTAAAATGACACTCCCCAAATCCCTTCTCTGCTTTGTTTTCTTCCAAAGCATCTGTCATTTAATATACTATGTCTTGCTTTTTAATTAAGTTATTATCTTGCCTAATAGAACAGAAGCTATGAAAGAAAGAGACCCATAGGTTTCAGTAATTATGAACAAATAAATGCATTTAGCAAGGTTACATTTTATACGTGACAATGGCATCATGCTACAAGGGAGAATGCCAGATTTGATGCTGGACAGAGCAGACTTTTGAGTTCTACCTTCTGCACTTAGCAAGTGGGTGAGCTTGAACAACTTCATCTTCCCTTTCTGTATATTAGTTTTCTCACCTGTAAAGAGCATTGTAATTTGACTGCATTATGGGATTGCTGTAGAGATAAAGTAATATAAAGGGTATGACAACATGGTGCTAATTGTAAACAGTTGTGCAGGTTCACATAATCTTTGGCTGTGATTCTCAAGGTACTTACTGTTCTGGGGAGTTAATATCTTCTATGGGATCTTTGCATGTTCGAGAGGGCTCTGTTGTATTCCACTGTAGCTGGGGATTTTGATCGAGGTGATTTTTTAAAATGGCCTTTCCCCCATCTGAATGTGAAACAACAATATCACAACACATTCTGTTAACTTAGTTTTACAAATCAGTAGTGCGAATTTAGGGTGCTGCCCAAGGAGAGAGCATGCAAAAGAGCCCATCATCTCTCTGAGTTTTCTGAGCTGGAGTCTGTGTTGCAGCCCTCCCGAAACCACGTCAGCAAGCCAAGAAGTCCCTGTCCAGGGATGGCAGCAGTGTAACGGGAAGTGAGGGGCCTGCGCCTGTCCTGTGTCTCCAAGGGAAAAGGGGGGAATCACGTCCACAATACAGACAATGTAATTTAGAAATGAAGGGTTCTTACACTGAAGCTCTTTTCATTGGTCCATAGGAATGTAATGACAGAGAAAAAATCCCCCACAGTATTTTTTGATAAGCATAGCAACGATTAAGAAGAATAATAGTAAATTACTGGCAGGAGTATACACTGACATAACCTTACTGAGGGAACTATCAGTATGTATCATATACCTAAAAAGTGCATATTTTCTACACTGAATATCTACTTCTGGGGATTGTCCTAGGGAAATAATCAAGGATATGTGTAAAGATATACACAAGATGTTTAATTCAGCATCATTTGTCATATCAAAAGAACGTCAGATGCTGGGGGTATAGCTCAGCGGCACAGTACCTGTCTGCCAAGCTCAAGGTCCTGAGTACCAAAAAAACCAAAAATCAAATAAAAAACAAACAAACAAAAAAGAATGTCAGAACTAGTCTGTATGTGCCCAGTGTAATGGATAGGTTACATAAGTTCTGGATCACCCATTAAAGGAATATTGTATAGCCACAAACCAGGGTGACATAAATCTTCTTCATTTTCTTTGGGCTTTAGAAACATCTTGGCACATTTACAGAAATCTGAAAACCTGGCCTCACCTGAGAGATCTGGATTCATTTGGTCAGAAGAGGATCACTGGTATGTTTGTTTTTGCTGCAGCAGGCAACCTTACAGGTATGTCATTGTGCACCTGATTGGGAACTTCATTATTCAAGGATTCTGAATATGCACAATCATCTACTTGCTGAAATTTATTTGTGACCCCCAATTCAACACTCACAGTGATGTTTGCTTTTGTATTCATTTGCTGACATGCAGAAGATATTGAAAAATTTGAATTGCCTGCTAAACATGTTCCCAGTTGAGGCAATGTTCCGCCTTTTTGCTCAGCTCACGTACTATAAATAAGAATCTTTTCTGAGGTCTATTTAGTAGCAAGTTTTTCATATTTTCATGCTTTCTGTTGGTCATTTTGCTGTTTGAAATGGTCCCTAAGTGTAGTGCTGAAATGCTGTCTGATGTTCCCAAGTGCTGTGCTATGCCTTGCAGAGAAAATACATGTGTTAGGTAAGCTGCCAGCAACCATGAGTGACAGCTGTTGACCATGAATTCGGTGTTAGCAAACCAACAACATATATTAAATGAGGTATCTTTAAACAGAAATATGCATAAAACAAAATTAGGTACTGATTGGTTGACAAAATTGGAAGGTTTACAGGAGCCTAACCCTGAATGTCCCCTCGGAGTGGTGCTCAGTTCTCTCTTTCACTGTGCATGTGATGCACAGGGCATAACTACATCACTTGCAGGAGGGATGACAACTGATTATGCATCCAGAATGTTGTGGTCTGAATGTACCAGCCCAGACTCATGCATTGAAATTTAAAGGCCGATGTGAATTAAGAGATGGAGTTTTTAGGAGGTGACTATGTTATGAGAGCGGAGCCCTCACCGAACCTTTATAAAAGTTATTGAGGGAGAGGATTTGGGCCCTTATGTCCCTCCCACACAGTGCTCCTCCCATCTGGGGAAGCCATCTTCCAGGTACCATCTCAAAACAGAGTAGGTAGGCCCTCACCTACTAGTGCCTTGATTTTGGACTTCTGGCCTTCAGAAGGGTGAGAAATAAATTTCTGTTGTTTACAGATCATCTGGTTTGTGATATTTTGTTATAGCAGCACAAACAGATAACTGACACACAGAATAAATTCCAATGGTAGAAATGCTGGGTTAGAGAACAGTTGCTACTTGGGCCAGCCATGTTTGAGGATGCCTTTCCCTATGGGTTTCCTTGCTCTCCTAGCAACTCTTTGACCTTGGCTCTTTACCAGTCTTACAGGTGGGAAGGGCCTCTCACTGCTGGTTTGATTTGCATTGCTTTAATAAGCAGTGAGGCTGAGCATGTTTTCACAAGGGAAAGAATTGCTTTTGTGGGGGAGAATGTTCATTTGCTTATTTTCTTCTGGCTTTTTGGTCTTATTTTTACTAATCTGTATATAATTTATATATAATCACATATAACCTCTCTATAAGGGCATAAACTTTTTATCTGAGGTAAAATGTTTTTGGCTTAGTTTATTGATTTTTAAAAACCATATTTAATAATGGTATTTAGATTGTGAAAATGAGGGTTTTTTTTAAAAGTTAGATTTTTAACCTTTTTTTTTGTGGATTCTGTTTTGTAATAAATTAAGAAATGCCTGCTGTACTCTGAGATTATTTAAAAAACTGATCCTTTATTTTCCTCTAGTATTTTCATAGTCTCAAAATAAAAAATTTAAAGCTCAGTGCAAACGCTCTGGGTTCAATGCCCAATACTTAAAAATTTTTTATATTACTTTTATAATAACAATATTTATTATTTTTATGAGTAAAATATTTTCTATTAATTTAGAAAGAATTTTATAACAATTTAATGACATGCACCAAAGGCAGAATCCAAACAACAAAAAAGTCTATAAAATACAGTGTGAAACAATTCCTCCTCAGCCACCATTCCTTTTCACACAGGTGAATAGTATTAACAAGCTGGTATTTGTTCTTCTTTTTCTTTTTTCTTTTTGGTATTTGTTCTTTTAAACTTTTTGTTATTTTAGTTTTATAGTGCTGAAGATAAAACCCAGAATTCATGCATGTGAGGCAATTGCTTTATCACTAATCTACACCCCCAGTCTACTTCTAGACTTTTAAAAAATTGCACTGACACACACACACAACACACATATGTGCATGTGTATGCATTTGTGTGCATTATAATGTTGGTTTGTTTCATGTGGAGATTCTTCTACATTCACACAAATAGATCCACTTCACCTTTTAATGGCTGTACAATGTGCCATGTTTGACTGTATCATAATTAATGAAATAATTTCAAATGATGAGCATTTAAATTAATAACAGACTTTTTCCACAAATAATACAGGGATGAACATCCATGTGGAAATTATTTCTAAGGGGCAGTTTCCCACTGTGGAACTGCTAGGTCAAGAAGTTTTCAACACTTGACATTTATAGAGTGACAGCCTGACTCTCAAAAAGTCACAGGAGAATGATCACTTCTAAATACTCTAGAATTTTTGTTTCTTTTTTATGGTGATGGAGGGGATTGAGCCCCAGGCCACCTTGTGTGCTAGGTATTATCTCACTTAGCCAAACTCCTAGTCCCATACACTGGTAATCTTTTACATTTTTGCCAAGAAGTAGGCAAAAAGTGGCCTGTGACTTGCATTTCCCTAGGGTTGGTGAGACTGGGCATCACATCATATCTTACTGTCCTCTCTTTTTCCTTTTTATTCTTTGATGAGGCACATTTACACCTGTGCAATGTTCAGAGAAGTAAATGTAAGCCATTGCTAAGAACAAAAGGGAAAATGAGATGTGCCTCTGCTTAGTACATGGAGAAAACTGGCCATGTTGTGTACTTGTGGACCTGGCACTGCAGGATGAGGAACAGGAGCCCAGGTCTAGGCAGGGGACACTCCGAGCAGACCCCGCACTGTGGTCAGGGACAGGGTCCCAGGGGCTCCAGCTCTACGGTGTGACTTCAGACCAGGCTCCAGTCCTCTCTGAGGATGATGTAGGGCTGGCATTTGAATCCAGGCCCCATGTCCAGGCCTGACCTCCTCTCACCTGTGCTCTCTGTGAAGTTCCCCAGGTTGAGGATGTCGTTGAGCTCCTGGTAGTGGTTCTGTTTAATGTAGGTGGTCTTTTCTGGTGTGTCCTGCAGCTTCATAGTGACTTCTTCCAAGTCCTTATCCAACTGGAAGACAAAGCCACAGCTTAGGTTGAGCCCCACCCAGCTCCTGTCCAGTCCCTGCCCAGCACTGGCAGCTCAACCTCAGAACCAAGGTGAGAACTGGGCCCCTGCATCTTGGTGAGGAGACGCAGGAGGATCAGCTGCTTTTATTCAGGCAGCAGCCATGACAAGAGGGATCTAGTCTTGGCAGTTATGCCCTCCATATGGGAGCCTTGATGGAAGAGCTCAGCAAGCCAGAGAGACAGGGCCTCCAGGAAAGCGGGACATCCAGGGAGAGGAGGCACTGAGGAACGATGGGGCGGGGGAAAAGCTCAGGCTGAGGAGTTGGACAGGCCTATGGGCAAACCCCAGGTGGCCCCATGCTGCCAGTCTCAAGTTCTTTACCCATAGGAGGGGTAATCATAGTACCCACTTTGTGGGAGTGTTGTGAAGATTAAAGGAGACGATGCGTGTGAAACCCAGCCCTGCTACTACAGAAACATGACTATAACCGTTATCATCGGTCGCTCACAGCACCCTCAGTGCGGAGCTGGCCAGCCTCAAATATCATGGGAGCTCAGGCCAGCAGAGGCTCATCTGGATGAGTTCATCAGGATAGGCCCAGCCACGCCCCACTGTATAACAATCAGGAGCACATCCTGAGCCATTCAGTTCCAGAGAAGCCTGGGGAGGGCATGTTCTGGTGGGGAGCAATGGCAGTTGGTTTGGGCAGTGAACATCCTAAGGGAGGGGACCTTATAAACTATAGAGTGCTGTTCTGATGTCAGGAGCATGGCTATCATTTAGTAAGTTTTCATGTGCAGGAAGAGATATCTTTATTTTTTGTGAGACTCAAATGGCAGGGCTAGGGTCTAAGGGTGGGAGCACCAGGAGGTCAGATTGTGATTCTGTTCTAGGAAAAACCACACAGTATTTTAGCGTGGCTTGAGTTTCCTAAAGTGAGTGGATTCTTCATTGCTGGAGTATACAGGTAGAAGTACAATGTGAAGGCACAGAGATATGAATCACGGAGAGTTCCAGCACTGAAATGGAATTGGTAATGGGCTTGGAAGGACAACAAGCTTTCCAACTTTGCCCTAGAGGCTGGTGGTGGGCTGCCCTACCCTACAGCAGGCATTTCAGGTGCACATGTAACTGTGTCCTGCTGTCACTGGCCTCCCAAAAGGATGCCAGATCTAGCAAATAAAAATACAGGATTCCCAGTCAGATCAGAATTTCAGATAACAAGAAGTCTTTTTTTTTTCTGAGATAAGTATGTGCCAAATATTTTATGAGATATACTTATCCTGAAGCTATCATAGTTGTTTATATGAAATTCAAATTTCACTGGCCATCCTGTGTATAATATGGCAATCCTGCATCTTGCCACTTCCCTACAGCAAGAGGATACATTTCTTAGTCTCCTCTGCCACTGAGTGTGCTGTAAGTTCTTGTCAGTGTGACTGGATCAGGACCAAAATGCATGCAAATTTTTTGTCACTTGCTCAAAAGGAAATCTCTCACATGAACTCGGTGCTCTTGTCTTTCAGAGTCTGATAAAAGGATATGTTTTCCGCCCAGCTTTACGTGGGGAGTAGCAGAAAATAGAGAGGAAGAACCTAGCCCAGCAATGACCACCGGGACCTGTCACCGGGAGACAGAAATACTTTCTCTGAGTCCCTTTATTTTGGATCCTCTTTGTTACTTCAACTTAGCCACAGTCCTACCCAGCACTTTGCTTTGTTCCATTCCTGTCCCCATCACCGACGTGGCACTGCCCTCTGAAAGGACATACAGCCCACAGACTGCTGGTCTGGTCAGGCATCCTGGCCCTGAGGGTGGGTGAAGTCAGGGAGACAATCTGGATTCTCCTCTCTGAAGTAGGAAGTCCAGAATCTGGTTTGATGTGGGCACAGAGGAATCTGGTTGTGGCCTCTCTGGAATATACCAGAACCGATAAGGATATTAAGGACAAGGGTGAGGTCTGTTACAGCAACCCCTTCTCCCCAGCCTCTTTCACTTCCTCCTCTCCTGTTGCACATTGTGTATATGTGGGTGGGTCCAGGTGTGTGGATACTCTGGGGCCTCACAGATCACCGTGAGTTTCTTTCTCTCTGAGGATGTCTTGAATTGGGCCTTGTTGGACTCCAAAAGCCTGGGCCAGGTGGGCAACAGATTCTTGTCTGATCTGATGAACTGCTATTACCTGGTTTATGGTACCCCAGCGCCTGTAGCTGTAAGGACGGCAGAGGGGAAGGAAAGTGATGGAACAGCAGCCCCAAGGCTGTCTCAGAGGGGCCCTAGAGGAGGATGTACCTCTGTGATCTTCATCCTCAAGCGATGGTTTTCTGACTGCAGACCCTCCAGGCGGGACGTGCTTGCCTGGTTCACGCTGGTGACGGAGGTGGATGTTTTTGAATCTTCTTTCTTCTGATTTCGAGTGATCTGGAGTCGCTTGTTCTGAGTTGCGGCATCTGGGTTTGTTCTCAAAGTGATGAGCTGAAGGGACAGAGATGGGCTCAAAGAGAGAACCCAGCATCCCACCTCCCATCCCTCCCAGCAGGCCCTGCACAGGAGGCAGCAAGGTCCCCAGAAAGGCTGCAGGCCAAGGGGTCAGGAGCCTGTGGCCAGGCTAGGCTCTGCCACTGGCTTGGGTGTGACCTTGGGCAGGCCCTTTCCTCTCGCTGAGCCTCAGTGTGGTTCGCCAGGGGGAGTATTATCCTGATCCTGCCTCCACCTACATCCTCAGTGATTGGGCAGAGACCATCCAGGCCCTCAAGCCGCACTCTAGCACCGCCTTGCTCTGCCTTAGACCTTGCTCCCTGTGGAAAATGACCTGGAGGGGACAGCTGCGAGGACAGTACTGTAGAGGAAAGTGAAGGCCTCTGCTAGAACCCTTGATAAATTTTGTTGAAGGCTGGCAACTAGCTCTGTCACTGGAAAAGATACCCATTTTTTAGCAGCTTAAAAAACCCTACAACGTTTATTATCTTACAATTTCTGGGTGTCAGAGCCTGGGCATGGTTTAGCTGTATCCAAAGACATTTTAAAATATAAGACAAAAAGCTGCCACTTGACCCTGATTGTACCTATTTATTCTAGAAACATTTCTGGTCTGTGGCAGGCTCTGGCTCAGCACTGGAAGGTATGAGCTGAGTGGGCCATGGCCTCTGTCCGCCAGGACTGCACAGTCCAGAGGTGCGGGTGGAGACGAAGAAGGATATAATCTTCAGCTTTCTCAAAGGGCAGAGTGCCCAGCAGGTGCGGTGGCCTTGCTGGGTTCCCTGGAAGATCTGGAAGGGTGGTGGGGGGAAGGGAACCTTAGGGCAAAGATATGGCAGATGCAAATGCAGGGAGGCCTGGGGCTCAGGGCATGAGGAGGAAGGGCAGTTAGGGTGATAGACAGGGTTCTCTGGGCACTAGAGGAACCCTGAGGTCCCGAAAGCAAGCTCAACTCCAGGAACTTAGTCATTGAGCTGGAAGGGCAATGGAGGGGCTACTGAAGGTGACACAGCAGAGTGACACAATCAGAGCTGGGCTTAGAGAACCGTCTGACATCTTTGATAGAATGGAGAGTGTCAGAGTACAGGCAGGGAAAGCGTGGCACTGGCCTGGAGCTTGGGCAGGTGTGGACAACTAGAGGAGGAAGGGTGTATATGGCTGAGGTTCTAGAGAAGCCTTCGGGATAAACAGACTTGGACTGCTTGGGGGCCTGAGGGATGGAGCCACCACGGGCAACCTCTTTTTTCCTAATGGGCCCTGGATGATCTTTCCTGCTTTCCTTTTCTGTAACAGATGCCCCTCAGCTGGATCACTAACTTTCCCATCTCTTCCTTTACCCTCGAGACCCACTGAGGTCAGGCTTCCCTCTCTACGCAAAGCCTCACTGCAAGGAGTCCTAAAGGCCAAGGTTTCTGGTTCACTTACTCACTGCTGTTAGGATGATGTTTGAAAAGGTGGTCCTATAGGTTAGCCCTTCTGATAAATGGAAAATTTAAGTGGATATTAAAATGGTTATTCTTTTTGACCTTTTTCAAGATTAAAAAAAAGTTTTCAAGATAAAGATTTTTTGTTTTATCTTGAAGGAATAATTAAAAAACAAGGAAAATGTGTTATGTAAAAAATTCACTTATAAAAAAAATCTGCCAACAACTGTAATGGTCACATGAACATGTAAATTATGAACTCTCCCTCAGTGACGTTTGTGAATGTGGGATAATACAGAAAACAAAAAACTTAGATGCAAGAGGCAAACTATGAAATAATATATGTGCTACAGTTATAGCCATATCTTAAAAAGTGTTATCTCCTAACATTTAAAATACAGAAACACTGACAGGAAACATACAAAAAAAGAAAACAAAAACATTAACAGCAAAAAATATCTAAGCAAACATTTGCAGTTTTTGTTAATTTTCGAGTGTTAGGATTGTAAAATTTCTGAAAATCTCACTCCTCTCTGCAGCTTCTAAACTTTCTAAAATGTGAGTTGTCACTGCTATGGTTTGGATGGTTTAAGTGTGTTCATATGTTCTCAGTGTGGTGGTGGTGAGAAGGTGGAACTTTAAGAGGTGGAGCCTAGTGAGAGGTCTTTAGGTTAATGAGGGCTTGTCCTTGGAAGAGATTAAGGCAGTTCTCACAGAACCAAGTTGGGACAGTGAGTTTTTACAACAGTGAGCCATGCCCCTGAGTTGCTCTTTGGCATTTTGTCTCAAGATCTGATCTCTTCCTCCACATGCACTCCTACTTTTGTGATACTGTCTGGTATGAAAGCCTCACCAGAGCTTAGCTAGCGCCTGAACCTCCAGAGCTATGTTCTAAATCAATCTCTTTTCTTTGTAAAGTCAGCTAGCCCCAGGTATTTTATTATAGTATCTGAAAAATGGAATTATACAGTCATTATTATAAGATAAGAATGTATAAAACTTTCAGAAAGAAATCCTAACAACACCCTTGCAATGGAGTCCAAGACCAGAGGACTGGTACCTTTGGCACAAACACCAGGCAGAGAGTGATGGTGCTGCAGAAGATGATGACCAGGGCCACGATGCAGAACTGCACATTGGGCTGGTCCCGGGTCAGGAAGGAGACAGCGGCTCCAATGATGCACATGATCCCCACATTGTAGACGCTCATCCCAATGTACTTGCTGTCATTGAGTGCAGGGATGCTGACGTTACGGGTCTCCCAAGCTAAGAAACAACCGAACAACTGAAATGGTGAACAGAAAGGGGAAGATTGTCATTACCAAGGGGTGGCAACAGGTGCGCTGCTCCAGAACGCTGCTGCATGGAGGGCTGCTCAGAAGTAGGGGCTGGGGGGGGGCAGGCTGGGGCTTTCTTGCAGCCAAGCCTTCTGGATGACACCATCTGTCTCCACTCATGGTCCTGGGTTGTATCCCACAACCGAATAGCAGACTGGGTGTGTGTGACAGCTGTCTGGTTCTCCTTTGCTTCCACAACTGGTTCATGAACAGACCCACCAAAGGATACAGTGGGAAGGTGTAGTGGGAAGACCCTAGATGATATTGATGACTTCTGCTCACTCTTTAGAGGACACTGGCTTAGAGAGGAGGAAGGGGCTTACGTAAAGTTTGCCAGAAATACGGTAGCAAAAGAATGCTGTGTCTCTAGAAGTTCAGTCCGGTCCTTTTTGCTATTAAACTGGGCAGATAGTTTGTAACTGGGACTTCTATTATCCCCCAACGTACAGAGCCACTCAGAATAGAAACCACATTTCCCAATTTCCCCGAAAGTTAGGTGTGGGATAAGACTGGGTTCTGAACAATGATCTGAAAGAGGAAACGTTGTGAATAAACTCTGGGAGGTGTCTTTAAAGGGAAAGGATGTTGTATTTTCTCTTAACAGCTGGAGTGCACCATGATGGGTGGAGCTGCAGCAGCTGTCTTGGAGCATTTGATGAAATGTGGGGCAACAGGAATCGAGGAGCCAAGAGTCCAGACCAGGAGCCTCCTGTACCAGCCCTAGATGGCTTGCCTCTGGAGTTGCCTCTGGAAATTACCACCCAGGTCTCGAATGTGCTCTGCTACCCACTGGCTGTGCGATTTTCAGCAAATCACCTCACCTGTCAGCAACTCACTTTATTCCCCCCCCTGCACCTTTTTATTAGTGCATATGGGTCTTATTGGGTTTAATTTTGGCAGACTGACACATGCGTAGAGCATACTTAATCATTTCCTCACCTCCAGCCTCTCGCTCACCCTCCCTCCTACCTTCTCATTTTCTTGGGGGGATTCGATGTGTATCCTGTGTTTTGATCAAATGAGGACCTCACTTTCAATGTTTATGAAATGGGGATCATCATGACACCTTCCTCACGCTTGCTCCTGTTTAGATGAAGTAAGAGGATGGATGTGGAAGTGCTTTGTAAACTACAATGTCTTGTACAAAAATGAATTAAAAATTATTGTGTGATAAATATTTTATACAACCATGGTTGTTTTCCTCTCCTTATCTTTTATCCTTTTCTCTAAACACTTGCAACCTGCTTTATTATTATTATTTTTAAATTTCTTTAAATAAGAAACCAGCAGCGCAGGAACCAGATACCAGGTGATGCTCCCTGCCATTGGCTGTTGACAGCCTGCCTTGTGCGGGCTCCTCACATGGGACCCCTTGAGTCCCACGGAGACTGAGCCACCTCACAGACGGAGAAGTGGGTGCTTGGCCAGGTGATGGCACTTGCCTGGGGACCCACAGCAGTGAGTGTCAGGGCTGATGGTCCCTGAGATGCCGACCTTCTGTCAGGGAGTTAATGTACCCTCCTGAGCTGACAGACCACCCAACCTGTGTGAATCTCACCGGTCACAAAACGTAGGCACAGCTGGGACCTGGGAACTGCTGTAATATCTAAACAGCGCCAGGATGACAGGAGGAGACAGGGTAAGGTGCTCTTGGCCTTTGAGGGGATTTGTGCGCATGAGTTACACTGAGGTAAGGAAGAACTTCCTAACAAAGTAAGCCATCTGTAATGGGTTGAATGGTGGCCCTAAGAGATATGTCCACAATATGATCCCTGAAAACTGTGACTGTGACCTTATTGGGAAAAGGTGTCTTGCCAGTTCAGCTAAAGATCTTGACATGAAATCATCCTGGATTATACAGACGGTTCCTAATTCCAGTGGCAAGGATTTGGAGAGCCGTACAGGGAGTTTGGAGTCACGCAGTAACAAGCCAAGGGATGTCTGTGCCATCTTCATTGGAAGAAGCAGGAAGGATTCTTACTAAAATGTTTAGAGGGAACACAAGTTTACCTTGATTTCAGCCTCCTGGCCTCCAGAGCTG